CGGGGCCAGCAGGAACTCTTAGGAAAACCTTGACAGAAGTAGGTTTTTTGTTTTCTCTTTTTTTGGCAGTACTGGGGTTTGAACTTTGAGCCTTATTCTTTACTAGGCAGGTGCTATACCACTGAGCCATGCTTCTAGCCCTCTTTTGTGCTGATTGTTTTTGAGTGAGTCTTATTTTCTGCCCAGCTGCATGCCTGGATGGTGATCCACCTGTGCTAGGCTTCCCGCAGTAGCTGGGATGATAGGCGTGTACCGCTATATCCAGACTCTTCTGTTAATGCAGTAGTCTCATGGATCTTTCGGCTTGGGGTTGACCTAGAACTGTGAGCCTCCTGATTTCAGCCTTCAGAGAAGCTACGATGACCAGAGCATATCACCATACTCAGCTATGGTTTCAGATGGGTTTAAGCTATTTGTCCTCCCATGTAGCTAGGATTATAGATGTGAGCCGTCTTTGCCCAATTTGGAGGCCTGTGCTGATTGTCTGTGCACCTGCAGCCTCTTTCCTCACCTGTGAAACACCTACCTCCAGAGGCATAAAATAATGCCCAGACAGCGTGGCTCTGGATAGTGCACGCCACTACTTACCACACATCGGATACAGCTTTGGGTTCTTGCTTTTTTTAACCACCACTGTTCCTTTAGCATTTTGATGAGTTTTCCTTTGAGCCTCCGCTATGCATTTTCTTTTCTTTTCTTTTTTTTTTTTTGGGGTCCGGTTGTGGGGCCTGAACTCTGGGCCTGGGCGCTGTCCCTCAGCTCTTCAGCTCAAGGCTAGCGCTCTACCACTTGAGCCACAGCGCCACTTCCGGCTTTTTTCTTTTTGCTTATGTGGTGCTGAGGAATCAAACCCAGGGCCTCATGCATGCAATGCAAGTGGTCTACCACTGAGCCACCTTCCCAGCCCCCCGCTATGCATTTTCTGTTCTACAATGTTGACTAAATATCCAACTTTAAATTCAGCATTCTGTCTTCTATTCCTACATCTGCATTTTAAAAGCAGACTCATCCTCCTGTATAAATACACTGTTCCTTAGTGACCTCCTCTCCTTGGGGCCTTTTCTATTGTCACTACAGATGGTCCTGTACCCACACACTTTGGTAACCTTGACTAAGGATAGATTACTGGAAGTGGCATCATTGAGTGGCCCAATTGTTTTTAGGACTTTTAATACAGGATACTAGATTGTGAACTGGGAGGGTTTTTCAGCCATTTATCTAGCATGCCTCAGGAAATAAAGTCTAAAAATGGCTGTCTCATGGGACAGAACTAGGAAAGAGAGATCCTAGTAAGCAATGAGATGATCTCAGGTTTTAGGACATTGTTCTCCTTAAGATTGGGTGCCACAGGTTACATCTCAAACCAGGTGATGTGTGGCTCTCACTGTGGCGTGGTTTCTGCAGAGCAGCCTTATGTAAAATGTGGTACACATTTGAATATTCATCATCATCGTTGTCAGGTGGAGAGTGTTTACAGAGCTGCTGCTGTGGAGCACATCCCTCTTTCCTTGGTGCTCCCTTCACAAGCTGGGTGGGTGGCTGGAAGGTGCTGTCCCAGCAGACGCTCTTTACTCAGCCAGTCTCCAGGTAGCTGTGGTCTGGCCTGGAGCAGAGGGCCGGACCGCCCAGGGGAGGCTGGGGCCTAGTGGCTCTCAGGTTAGGGCACAACCCCCTTCCCCCTCACCCCCCCCCTCCGATTCCTTTTGCTTTCTTGATGGTCATGACACTTGGTATTTGGACTAGCAGCTTGTGTGCTTGTCTGGAAAGTTGTAACCTTGTCTTATTCTCCCTCCAGCAAGGATAATGACAAGGTGATGAGCAAACGTGGAAAGCAATCGCTAGCATGGAGGAAGAGCATTGCGTAGCAAGTTAGAAAGCCTATGTTGTGTTGCAGCTCCATTGCAGATAGCTGTGTGACCCCGGTGAAGGCACCAACCCCTCCCTTGGGCTTGGCTTCTCTGTCTGTAAAGGGAGGGCCCTGAGTGTCCCTCCTTCGGGATCCTTACAGTGACAAGACCCGGTAGCGGACACGGACTGTTCCAGGGAGGTGGGGACAGGAGGCTTGTGCTGCCTGATGTCTCAGAGCTGAGAGCTCGTGCAGACAGGAGCCCTGAGAGAGGAAGTGTTAACACATGCTGAGCACGAGGGACGCTCTGGTGTTCTCCTGACACCCCCCTGTTCCCACTTGGCCATTCCTACCAGCCTTGAAGGCTCAGCCCAAATACCCGCTTCTTGGCATCTGATCCCCGGTGCTGGGCACCCTGTAAGTGGTGAATACACGCACGACTGCCTGTCTTTTTTTCTGAAGGCTTTCATCTCCATCATAGCCCTGAAGCTATGCTGGAAGTAATGAATGAGACATGTGTGTTGGAAGAGAGGGCAGCTCAGGCGCACTGCGGGGAACCCCCTCTTGGCCGCACGGGCGGTGGCCTGCCTCCTTGCTGTGCTGGGCCTCTTTGATCTGGCAGGTTGCATGTGTGTGTAGCCCATGAAGGAGGAGTAATGCTGCCTTTTGTTCCTTTTAGGTCGTTCAGTTTTGCTTAAACCATATGCACTGGGCCTTCTTGATAGTGTCTAAAAGAACAGAATCAGGTAAACTAAAAAGCACACAACAAACCTAACTCTTGCCTTTAAACTTAGCCCGGGCAGGTACTTGCTGACCTCATGGTTGATTTCTGTGGGATTCTCTTAGTTCATCCTTTGAATGTATTGATGGGTTTTGTGCAATGAAGAGTAGAAAATAGGGATGTATTGGATAGAACTGGGAAGAGGTAGGTTCTCTAGGCTAGCCTCGACAACTCAAATTCTCACCTCCCAGATCTTCTCCTGGCTGAGAGGTTCTTGGCCCTGAATCATGAATGAGAAGTGGATGCAAGATATATTTGAATGGGGGAGGGGGGCAGGGCAGTGAGCTTGCTGGGAACAGCTTTTACAATGATATAAATAAAAAAAACAGATAGAACCGGTTTGGAACTTTTCCAGAAACTTGATTCCCAGGCTAATTTTTTTTAGGTTCCCATTTTAAGTTTGTTTTTGATAAAAAGATAAAAGCAACTCAACTACTTTCTGTTACTAGTAGGAAAATCTCCAGCCTGGGGTGCTGTGGAGCAGTGATTGGTGGCTGTCCTTTTGGAGGATCTCTGTTCTCACAGTGTGCCGTCCGGGCCTCTCAGGAAGATGCTCAGGGGCTTCTGGCTTGATGCTTCACTTCATTTGCCCGGGAAGGAAACATCTATTGCACCTTCCCTTTGAGCATCATTGGGAAGCCCAGCCGCCGATGGAACAAGCCAGGGAAGACGCTGGGCAGGGAGCTGCATTCTCGCCTCTCCCGCCACGTGGCACTTCCCAGCACCCAGTGTCTGCTGCAGTCCTCAGCTCTGTGCTGAAGCCACACTGGACTGCCTGTGTCTTGACCACTAACTCTGAGATAATTAAAAAATAGTATGTGGCTTGCATGGACCTGCCCTGCACTGTGAGCCACACATTTTAGAGGTATAATTAGCAAAGGAGAAGGTATTATTGATCCACCTGAAAGAGTAGGTAAAATCCCCAAACTTGGGTGCTTTTGTTTTGGGCAAGGTTAAACTGTTTTTAGCTTTAAAAACACTGTAGTGGGGCGGGGGGAAAAGGGTGTGCTGACGGATCACACACATTGGGTTTAAAGCCCAGCCACTGCCCTCAGCTTTGTTTCCCAGGATAAGTTTTTTGGTCTCTTTGAGTCCCAACTTCCTGTCATGTCCTGAAATTTAGAAAACACAAACATCGTGCTCCATTTAAGTGACATGTTGGTTCTGCTGTTGGTTCTATGCCCCATGCTGTATCTCCTCGTTCATATTACAGCAGGCATTTCTTTTTCCCTCGATCCTGGGGTTTGAACTCAGGGCCTGGGCACTGTCCCTGAGCTGCTTTTTTTTTTTTTTTTTTTGGGTCCGGTCATGGGGCCTGAACTCTGGGCCTGGGCACTGTCCCTCAGCTCTTCAGCTCAAGGCTAGCGCTCTACCACTTGAGCCA